CCAGGCAAAATGGCTTGGTTTGCCGAGCGAAGAAAAGTTCAGAGGTTTTGGTGTGTCTGGTTGTGCGACATGTGATGGATTCTTTTTTAAAGACCAAATAGTTGCTGTTATTGGCGGGGGAAACACGGCTGTTGAAGAGGCCTTATTCCTGACAAACTTTGCAAAAGAGGTCATATTGATCCATCGCCGTGATGAATTGCGTTCAGAAAAAATTCTTCAAGATCGCCTATTAAAACATTCCAAGATTCGTCCTCTTTGGAACCATGTGGTGGAAGAATTTTGTGGTGAAGAAAATCCCAACCGCCTGACTCACCTGAAAGTTAAAAATGTTCTAACAAAAGAAGTCTCTGATTTGCTTATAGACGGTGCTTTTGTTGCTATCGGACACAAACCAGCAACAGATATTTTCAAAGGGCACGTTGATATGGATGACCAAGGATATATTCGTGTCCTTCCCGGAACACCACGCACAGACATCCCAGGGCTTTTTGCTGCTGGAGACGTTCATGATCACATTTATCGCCAAGCTGTAACCGCAGCCGGATTTGGGTGCATGGCTGCTTTAGAAGCTGAACGTTTTCTCGCAGAACATAACGCTTAAAAATAAAGTAGGGAGGAGAGTCATCAATGGATTTTGCGTTAAGCCAAGAACAAAAAGCGATTCAAGAGCTGGCGCAAAATTTTGCCGCTCAGGATCTCGCGCCTTATGCAGCAGAGTGGGATCAAAAAAGCTTCTTTCCTGTAGAGACGTTTAAAAAAGCAGCAACCTTAGGTTTTGGTGGAATCTATGTTTCTCCGGATTTTGGTGGATACGGCTTAAGCCGTCTTGAAGGTGCGCTAATATTTGAAGCCCTTTCTCAAGGATGTGTTTCAAGTGCTGCTTATCTTTCCATTCATAATATGGTTGCGTGGATGGTTGACCAGTTTGGGACAGAAGATCAGAAAAAGACTTTTCTTCCAAAAATAACAACGTGTGACATGTTGACCAGCTATTGTCTCACCGAACCTGGTGCTGGGTCTGATGCCGCCTCCCTGACAACAAGCGCTGAAAAGAAAGGCGGTTCTTATATTTTGAATGG